GCCCCAGCATAATAATGAGAGAACTTTAGAATAGTTAGGTGTAGAATGTGAAGTAGCGTTAAACAAAACTGCTAACAAGGTAGAAAAAAGTATAATTGCCAAATCTATTACAGACGTGTGTAATGAGACTAAGAATTCCTGTTATACAAGAGAATAAAACAGCAATTTGAATTAAAAATAAATCAATAGACAACAACATAGTGTTTACAAAAGCAGACAAAGGTAACACTACTATTGCTGTAGATAAAATAGAATATAATAACAAAACAATAGAATTCTTAAATAATCAAAATATTGAAACTTTACACAAAGATCCGACAGAAAAATATCAAAAACAATTTAAGCTAGCGTTAGAAAATTCAAAATCAATTGTAAATCCAATAGAACAGAAATACCTCAATATCATGAACCCACAGCCTCCTAAATTATACTCTTTCATTAAACTACATAAACCGGATCACCCAATAAGTACTGTAGTTTCTTTTTATACAGCTCCGTCATATAAACTTTCAAAAAAACTGTTAGAGATTATTTTAGAACACACTAAATTTTTACCTAAATTTACCATAAAAAATACAATAGAACTAGTTAATAAAATACAACGTTTTCAATTACCTAACAACTGCAGATTAATTTCATTTGACGTAAAAAATCTTTTTCACAGTATCGCTCCTACAGAAACTTTTATTCTAGTAAAAAACATTTTAGACCAAAATAGTACAAATCCAATAATTACATCTGAAATTTTACATCTTCTTGAAGTTTGCATAAACCGGGACTACTTTGAATTTAATAATCATATGGGAATAAGCGAAATGCGCTGGACAGATACGGGATACCGAGTTATCAAAGATCACAAAATATTCTACTCAGGAAATCTTAAGAACGAACATATAAATGGAGTGGGCCTAATTATGAATAATAAAATCGCCAATAGTGTCAGTCACTTTGTACCTGTATCTGAAAGGATGCTCTTTCTGTAGGAGCAGAAAGGATGCTCTTTCTTCTATAAGAAATTATAGAAGAATTTTACAATGACCTTACTAATATTGTCAAACGGATTCGGAAAAACGAAATAATACTAATAATGGGAGACTTTAATGCCAAAGTTGGTAAAGGACAATGTGGAAATTTATTTGGTTTGGAAATTTATGTGGTTTGATTGAATTTGCAACTGAAGAACAGCTCGTAGTGACAAACACCTTTTATGATCTTCCTCCAAGACTATATACGTGTAAATCTCCCCAGGATACTCTAGATCACACAGTAAGAAATCAAATAGACTATATTCTTGTTAACAAACGATTTAGAAACTCTATAATATCTGTTAAAGCGTACCCGGGATCCGACATAAATTCGGACCACAATCCACTTATCGCCAAAATGAAACTTAGTTTAAAGAAAGTTCAAAGACCAAAAATTACGAAGTACGATATTAACCAACTGAAAAATAAAACAGTAAAGGAAAAGGTACAAAAACGCCTAAAAGAAAAAACGTGGGCTCGTACAGAAATAGATAACACAGATGTAGAACTAGAAAATTTGCACAAAGTCAAAAAATAACAGAGAAATACTTAAAACCTGAAAGAACAAAGAAAAAGGAATGGATGACGGAGGAGATTCTATGTATGATGGAAGACAGAAGAAACGCAGAAGATAATAAGAATTACTACAACAACATAAATAACGAAATAAAAAGCGCTATTAAAATAGCAAAAGAAAATTGGTTTAGCTCGAAGTGTACAGAGATAGAGTCATTACAACGAAAACATGATTCATTTAACCTCCATAAAAAGATTAAAGAAGCGGCAGGCTTATATAAACACAAGAACACTGGATTCCTGACAGATAATCAGGGAAACATAGTACTGGAAATAGAGCATAAAAGGGATATTTGGATTAAATACGTGGAAAAAACTTTTGAAGATGTACGAAGTAACACTGGTATCACAACAAACACCAATTGCGAATCTGGACCACCATTTACAGTCGAAGAAGTAAAATATGCCATCAAAAGCACCAAAGATGGTAAAGCAGTAGGCTCTGATAATTTTCACTCAGAATTCTTAAAACTTATGGACTATGATGGCATAAATGGTTGACAAATATATTTAACAATATATATGATACAGGCATAATTCCCCAAGAATGGTTAGTGTCAACTGTTATAAATCTTGCAAAAAAAACCCAATGCGAGAAAGTGAGAACACTATAGAATTGTAAGCCTTATGAGCCATTTACTAAAAACATTTCTAAAAGTCATTCACAAAAGAATATATACAAAATGTGAGGAACAACTAACAAGAATACAATTCTGATTTCGTGATGCTCTGGGAACACGGGAGGCCCTTTTTGCTGTACAGGTGCTATTTCAGAGATGCAGGGATGTGAATAGATCACATGCATGTAGGTGGCGCTGGCGACAGGGTTTGGTATTAAAACATAACCTTATTTTATTCTGCCATTTATTTACATTGTTTTCTAGTACTCGTTTCCTAGTTGGTATGCAATTTTGTGAGTGATTTTTAATAAGTTATTTAGTACATTTTAATTATTTGTAATACTGAAATGCAATTCAGTTTCCAATAAAACTTTCGTTTTCTAAAACGTTTCATAATTTCCCCTTAAATAAAGCTTTACAAAAACGATGATTGATCGCTACCAGATCTGAAAAAAGTATCAGCAAGCACACAAAAATCTATTCCAGTCACTTTTCAAATGAAAGTTATACTGTTACAAGTTTGGATACGTTAAAAAATAGTTATCCTAATTTCTTGCATTGTCATTGTCTTGTTTTTATAGGGCAATATAATACCCTTAAAAAAGATGCAGCACCTTAAAGTAAATTTACCAAAAAGAAAGTTGGAGACTCCAGTGAAGGACTGTAGGAGAAGTGATAAATATGAAAAAGACTTTGTGTAGCAGTACAACAGGCAACATTTATTCTACATATTATGGAACCAACACCTTTAAAATACTAATAACATGAGCTGAAAAAGGTGAAATTAGATATGTATCTGATGTTTATGGAGACGGTATTTCAGATTGCAGAAAAATTACAGTAGAATTCGGAATTTTTGGACGTATTGTCCTAAATGTGAATTCTAGCGGACAGGCGTTTTGATATAACAAATATTTTAAAGGAAAAAGGAATATTATTTAAATATACCTGCAATAAAAAGGGGCTCAGTTAACAGAAGAAGAAAAAATAAAAACAAGGGCCATTGCCAATCGTAGAATCGTTGTTGAAAATATTATAGGATTGGCAAAAAAACATAAAATACTAAAAGATAGAATTTTTTCCAAATTATTTCTATATATGAATGAAATAATTTATAACTGTTTTAAGATTTGTAATTTTAAAAATAGAATAAGTAACACTTTGTGAAAATTATTTTGTGTTTATATTGATCAATTGAATTCCTGGTGGGACAGCATTTATTTTTTTATTGGTTTTACATATAATATTTGTGATTTGTTACTAATTATCAACTTTAATTTGTTTAAAAACTTGGAAAATATGACTTTAACAAGATTTAATTTGCGTTATTTCATTGGTTAACTATGAGACAAAACATAAAAAAACACTTTTTTTTCAATGTTGAAATATCCATTAATAAAAAATGTACAAACTAAAGATTGAATACCTCACTAATTTCACAAATGTTAAACGCTGTGAATCTATGGCTAAAATCTGCGAAAATGTATTGAAATGTATATTTACAATATGAGGAATATAACTTAATACCAAACCTCGACGTAAGCGCCCCTTACGGATATTTTTTTAAGTGACTTATGGCATGTGATCTATTGTGTCACATACGTATGCTTTATAGATAACCAGAATGCATTTGACAGAGTAAAACATGACAAATTAATTACTCTAATGCAAGAAATTGGAATTGACAACAAAGATCTTAGAATTATCAGAAACATTTACTACAATCAAAGGGCCAAAATCAAAATAGAAGACCAGTTAACTGATAAAATTGCAATAGAACGTGGAGTACGACAGGGCTGTATTTTGTCTCCATTGTTGTTGAATATTTATTCTGAATGGGTATTTAAGGAAGCTTTAGACGGCTGTGCGAAAGGAATACTAATAAACGGTGAATGGTTGAATAACATTAGATATGCAGATGACACTATAGTTTTTACCGATAATCTGAATGACTTACAGATATTATCAAATCGCATAACAGAAGTCAGCAACAGATACGGACTAGCTCTTAACATAAAGAAAACGAAATTTATGACAATTAGTAAAAAACCAATACTAAACGCTCAACTTACAATCAACCAACAGAATATCGAAAGAGTCAAGCAATATACATATCTAGGCACCAATTTAAATAGCCAATCGGACCACTCAACAGAAATTAAACAGCGAATAATAAAAGCAAAAGCAGCATTCGTTAGAATGAGAACCATTTTCAACAGTCGAGACATATCATCAACAAGAAAATGCCGTCTATTGAACTGCTACATATTCATAGTTCTGCTCTACGGAATGGAAGCGTGGACACTGACTGCTGCATCTATGAATCGGCTCGAAGCTTTCGAAATGTGGTGTTATAGGTGCATCTTACGTATATGCTGGGTTGACAGATTTACCAATGTGGAGGTCCTGCGTAGAAGGGGGCAAGAATGTGAAATTCTCATGACCGTCAAAACTAAAAAATTGGAATATCTAGGACATGTAATGAGAAATCAAGAACGTTACGGCCTTCTCCAGCTGATTCTCCAAGGGAAGAACATCCGGAACGGATAGGCACTTTAAGAAGAAGATCTGCCAGTCATGGAAGCAAGGAAGTTGTTAAGCGCAATCTAATCGCCATTCCAAAAACCATAAAACAACTCACCTATTTCTATTGGTTTTTTTCACATCGTGGTTTAAGGAACATTCATAACCCACCTGATGGATGCTAATATCTACAAGGGGATCACTTGATTTAAAGATATTTAGATCCCTAATAGAAAAAACTAAATCCAAAAATACATTACGAGGCTTGAGCAATATTCACAACTGGATCACCTGCAGGACAATGCACCATTACACTAAACTCATCATTCTCCCATGATCCATTGGGAAGATTGTACTCACTGAAAACGTAGATATCCTGTGCTAAGTGTTGCAAAACCACATTTTCTGCAGTTTGAGACTGCCAGTTGTCCGCGAGGTGATTGTGGAGGAATATAAACGCCACCGACCACAAACTTGACTTCATTAAGTTGACATTACATATATATTTGCTCAAACCGATCTTCACAAATACTAATGGTTTGTGATTTTAACTTGTTGTTAACAAACACTAGTACACCACGACCAATCAATATTACACTGGTTCTCTGATATCTATCACATCTGTAGATACTAAAACCATCACATTTAATATCATTCATCCACTAAAATAATTATATTGTAAAAGCAGCAGAAAATATTTTTCAGGATCTCGGAAATCTTTGTATGAATACCTCCAACATTATGATAAAAACTGTTAATGGGAAGGATACTAGTTTTTGTTAGTTTAACTTCACACTGAGGTATTTAATGCATATATTTTCATTGACAGTAAACAGATAAACAGTATTTCGAAGCTTATTTTAGCTTTACTTGACTTAAGAGCCAATTTCACTGTGTTAGCATTACATATTAACTGATGGTTTGCCACTAGGCAAATGCGCTAGCAACCATTCAGATGGTTTTCAGTCATGCTTTCCTACTGCCTCACAAGCTTTAACCTGACATTTTGTTAGGAATGGTCCCGACAATGATTTGTTAGGAAGTGATTCAATTTTATCTACTCACTCTCTGCAGTGAGCACTCATTTAGCTTTTAAAGCCTGATGGTCTTCCGCTAGGTAATTGCGCCAGCAACTATCCCATTTTATTTTAAAACTTTCGCTCAGACATTTTGACATGTTTTTCATTTGACAAAAAGGAACCTTCCTTTGTTACGGTGCTATTTATATAGCACATATATTTTCTCATTCTTCTCGTCCCTTTGACAAACCTTGTACAAAGTGAGCTATTTGTTCGGAAATCAGTTGTATATTTTTTTCTATCCTCTTGGTTTTATTTTCCAAGTATTTTTGCTAACCATTCGTCTTCTACCACCTGTTGTGGTACTTCAATGTATCTTGGGATGATGAACTATCTGAACAGATACAAAAGTTAACTGTACTTGTATGTTACATTTCTAGAGAGTCATTTCTAGCAGATATAATTACTTATTTACTTTAAAAGATTACAGTATAATATTTTTTTCTATTTAGTAAATTCTCATTGTCAAACTAGCTAACACATGGTAATCTGTTTATAAGTTCATATAAATTGGAATTTTTAGGTACAAATTTTTATCCCTACAAATACTGACAAACAAAGATCGAGACCAAATATCGAGATGTAAACATCTCCTCCAGTTTGCCCAGGACATATACATTTCACGCGTCGTGACGCGCAGATGTTCCTTTTCTATGTACAGAAAACATTAATGAGCCACTCCAGGTATTTTCCGTGATTTTTCAATTCATTGCTAATTTATTCACAATCAAAATATTAATCGTTATCATTCTAATCATTAAACTAGCTACCTCAATAAGTTTTACACAAAACACAAATCTATAGATGATTATACAATTTCAAAAGTATAAACATTAAACCTTTGATTTATTGTTTCACATAGCTTTTTTTGCATTTGTTGGTAGTGAATAATTGTTAGTTTCTGGGGACTTACTGTCAAAATGTAACTAACTTCACAAAAAAAATTGCTAAATTTACAAGAAAAATTACTAGAATTAGTGAACTAAGCATACAGATACTATTTTGATTTTATTAATATTCTGCAGTGTGGTCTTCAAGTATATATTATTAATAACAGAACTCAAAATTTAAATTAAGTTTTTTTGTTTATTTACAATGTTACTTCAGTGGTAATTTTTAGTTTACATTTATTGTCATCAAATTCTATAAAATATTGGAATAAAATAAAAAACAGGTGGGTTTTACTTAGTTCATTTTTATATTTATCTTAATTTTATTCAATTATTTTTTTTATTTAAAGCATATCATCATTTTTAGTAAAACGCCCCTAAGAAAATCAAACTCCAACAATGCATATGTAGCCAAGCCCCAAGACGTAAATAAATTGCAAGGGCTAATAGATCAGGTGAAAAACTAATCAAATAAATGAAGTCAGAAGAGAACCATGCATAAGGATCTTATGCACATTGTGACCAATGTGTAAGACAGAATATATTAAGAAGAAGAGCTGCATGTGAGCAGCATATAGCCACAACCAGAACACAAAAATATGAAAGACAGTGAATCAACCGACATTTACATGTATATCATTTGTTCGCCTTGCATTTGAATGTATTGCGCAGAATTAATTATTCCGACAATTTTAAAATTGCTATTGGTGCAATATCAGCATGTCAGTATTGTCAGACATTGAAGTTTCACAATGAAGCACTTGTCAACTGTTACGCATCAGGAAAAGTTGTGTTACCACCTCTTACTACTCCACCAGAACCTTAAAATTACTTATTACTAGTGATTTAGACAATTTTTAGATGGTGGGTGAACAGCACATTCGGTACTTAAGCTGCCATTAGAGGTTCATAGCAAACCAAATGCAATGCTTAACATTAAAAAAAAAGTGGAATGGTTGCACTGATGCAAACAAGTTCAGTTATTATCTGGGATTAATGTACTAGGGCTCATAAACATTCACTCTAAACATTACATAGAAGTATGAAAGATTTAAATGGCAACAACGTTCTGCCACATATTACCGGTTATTCCTCTCTTTACATAAATGTGGATGAGATTAATGAATGTTTAAAACAATCGTTTTTATAGTGCATTGTTGAAACAGTTTGATTGACCATTAACATAAGAGTAAAAAGAGCGAAATGATCTATTAGAGCAAATATTCTCCAAACATTTGCTGGACATTGGAAACAGTAAAATAAAATTGCATCCAAATTCACAATGCATCAAACTTCAGAGATAATTTCTGCACTTTTGTTGGAACCAAACATGAATTAATTGTAAGTGTCTTCCCGGCTACACTAAATAATTACTTGAATCACAAGCTCAGTGAGTATGCAATTTTGGCTGCGACAAATTTGACGTCGAATACGTCGTCCGAGAATATCCCATGCATGCTTTATTGGATTTAAGTCCAATCCAAGTTGTATTCCTTCGGGGCCATGGTTATAAATGAATCCCAACTTCATCCAAGTAATCCCGTGTTATTCTTACAATGTGCGGACGAGCATGATCTTGTATGAGAAGAAAGTTTTCTCCAACAAATGGGGCAAATAGCACTACATGATCTTCCAAACATTGCTGAATATACCGTTAACCGTTCAAATTGCCCCCTTGAATTGTAAAAAGTTTGATATGAGCCTTTATGGAAATTCCTGTTCACACCATTATACCACCTTCACCAAATTGAACTCTCGGAGTTCAATTGCTGATAACTTTCACCAGCTCTTCTCCATATCCTTGGCTACCCATCAGATGAGTATCTGTTAAATTTTAATTCATCCATGAAAAGCACAGCACTGCACAGCGGTCAGGGTGAAGTCGAGAATCACTTCTACCTACTTTAATAATAATTTTCATTAACTAAAAAAGATAACATTCCCTTGCTTTTCTTAGATATATCTCAATAAGATATTATTATAATAATACATGAACAATATACTATAATTAAAAAAAAAGAATTTCAATTAAGAAAATTCTAAAATAATATTTCCCCTAACTGGGATTTAACTTCATCGGTTTTACCAATGAACCTTAACGACATAAAGATTCAAAAGAAACTTGTAATTGTCAGCACATGCGTTCTGAGAAAACAGAACCTCACATTTAAACTTAAACAATCAAAAATTTAGTTATTGCCGATAATTCAAAGAATTACTACCTTTTAAATGCAGTTACATTGGGTTTTTCGATTAACCTTGGGTAAACCTTTGCGTTTTAAGTTCAAAGCTACCATACATATCCCACGTTAAAAAAACTTTTTTGCACATAGTAACAAAAAACACCACTATGTTGTTACTAGCTAAGTTTTTTAACATCATATCTCGACATTTCTAAAGTTACGGTAAGTTTTTAATAGATAATATATGGTAGCTAATTATAAATTATTCTCTTTCAGCCCTGAAGAAGCCAAATTAATTCTCTTTGGCGAAAACGTTCGGCGAAACAATTGATACTCATTAGAGTTTTTCTTGCAGATTTCCCCAATATTTAAGAGTTTACTATTTAACTTATCTGCAAAGATTAAATTTCTTATTATATATATATATATATATATATATATATATATATATATATATATATATATATATATATATATATATATATATCGCACCTCTGTTGCAATACCTCCACAACTCCGAAAAATTGAATTTTGGTTTTTTGGTCTAGAACATCTACAAAAATGTTAATTTATGTGGTGCAAAACTGCCACAAATCAAAATTTGATAAATGTCCACAGTATAATATGAAGTGTCTTTATGACATTTTAAAAATATTAAAATCACAACCTGCAATACTACCACATTATGAATTGTGGCAGTATTGCACAAGGAGATATCAGTCTAGTCGACTACAATACCGCCACGTTTTACTTATGGCGGTATTGCATCAGTCGTTTGGAGTGTATTCAGTCTCATTTCCGTTTTGTTAGCGTGCACGTGTACTTTATTTTAATGTTTTTCGATGTTTTATAACCCGTTGTTTAGTAAAGTACAGTGATTTTAGAAAAAAAATGAGTGGATATTCAAGAGGAAGAATGTTAAAAATTGTTTTACAAGAAACTGATGAATATAGGAGCCTTAATAATTAGAGGTATGTAAGTGTTTCTAACCTAACAAAAATTGTAAAAATCTTTTACTACCTGCCGTTATTTGTGAATTACTTGTTTGTAAGGTGTTTAAGTATACATTTTTATATTACGCTAACCCGGTATCTATTTGAAACGCGTTTGTGTTATTTGCAGGATGTGGTCATAGAAAATATTGATAATAGCTCTAAGGTATTATTAGATGTAATTCAAGATTGTTCCTCCTCTGATTATAATTGTATGGATTCAGATAGAGGAATCACAACAGAAACAGAATTGGAGGTGCCTATTTTTACATCGAACGACATATCCTAGATAGCGATGTAGTTGAGACATGCGCTGAGATGTTATGGAAACCTATATTAT